GTCTGCCTTCTGAAGCCAACAGCCGCGAAGATTGACTTTCCTCAAGTCTGCTCCTTGTAGTTGAGCACTATCAAATATACCATGGCTAAGATCAGCTCCTGGGATCTGGATGCCTCGTAAGTCTGCTTCGCTGAACGACTCTCTTGCTCGGACCAGTATCGTCATTGCATTTGCTGCTGCTATCCGCCATCTCTTGTCGCTCTTCGATAGCTCAACATACTCATACAACTGCTGCTTGAACTTTGGTTCAATCTCAACACGCTCTTTCAGGAACTCAAGGATCGATGGCTCATTCACAAAGCTTCTCCACACCAAAGGCGATGTCTCATCTGCTATGGCTGAATCTAGCTCACCTCCATCCGCTTTACTCCCTTCCACTTCAAAGCTGAATACAGAGCTGACACTCTGTCGGCGACATTTCAGTGCTGTTGCTGCTACTGTATCACCTGCAGCCGTATTCATCTCTTTCCGTGGTTCGAACATCGCTCGTACCACACAGTACTCCAGAATAGACCGATGCACAAACCGATACTGATCGCCTGTACGGCTCAGAGGTGATGCTTCTCGAAGGAGGTACTTCTTGCTTCCTCGGCTAAAGTACTCTCTTTTCCATGCTTCTTTGCGCTTGCATGGATACTCCACCACTGGGTTGCCATCTTGATGCTCGTAGATTGCTACTGCCAGTTCTGTCAGGTACCTAATCCCATTCTTTGCGAACCCTTCCTCACACAGTATCTGGAGCATCTCTCTATCTGTGCTATCTGTTGTCGATATCTCGCTTAGTCGCTTCTTGCCTCGTTCGATCCACGACTCAATGAACTGATCATACAGTGTGATGCGCTTGACCTGTGTTGTGGAGATGCCTTGATGTGGGTCTATCATTCGTGGCAGCACTTGTAGTGCCATCGATAGTATGAATGGGTTCTTTACAAGCTCTTGTAGACTAGGGACCATCTTGAGTGCACACTGATAGTCCTCCACACTCCACAATATGTCTATGCTTGCGACATACTGTTTGATGTACTCATCGATCTGATCCTCAGAGAATGGCACAATCGCAGCTTCTTGGAACAATCCAGCATCTGCTTGATGGTTGCGGTCCATAGGCTGGAAGCGACTTCGATAGTCTACTCCAAGATACTCACTGCGACAGCTGATCACCATCTGACACATCCATTCACCAGCATGGTTGAGGTTGTTGGTAACATACAGGTTCTTGGTCTGCATGGTCTCATCATATCCATCACACACCAAGATCAATGACCGACTCCTCTTCAGTTCCTTGATCTGCTCACTCGTGAAGCCATACATCCGCAGTTGCTTTGCAACCATATCCTTTGTTGGGTCATCGATGGCTGGCAGGTTAATGAACAGTGGGATGCGGCCATGGTTCTTTTGATACGCTTCCCACAGAGTGGACTCTAGATTACAGTTAAATGTCGACTTGCCTGCTCCTGAATCACCTTGGATAAGCAGCACTTTCTGCTTGCTCTTCAAGAACTCGTTCACTTTGTCCATCAATAGGAATGATTCGTCATCACTAGCTTGAGGATTCGCTTTGGCATATTGGTCAACGTAGAAGAACCTGTCGCCTCTTGTCTCCATCCGCTGTTGCTTGAGTAAACGTATGCTCTTCTCCACATCAGGCTTATTCTGTGCACGATCGAGCAGTGATGGAGATGCAGGTGAAGGCAAGGTGGCAGTGAAAAGATACTGTGTTGTTGACTCATTGATATCTCTATCCGCAGCAAGGTCATGGAGGAGTGTCTCTGCAGCTACAGAGGAATACATGTGGAACATAATGTACTATGCTTATTAGTATCGCTGCTTCTTGTTACCGAACCAACGACCTAATATTGAGGTAGCATGACTACTCACCTTGCAGGCCATCCTTCGTCGACAAGGCCAGTCTCTTGAGGATAAATATAATCCATTGCTTGATCTCAGGATGGTGACCCCAATCATTGTCATTCTTGTATATCTCTCCAAGGAGAGCGACTGCATCTTCTCGAATTTCAAGGGTTGACTCTGTGTTGGCTGCAAGCTGTCCTAAGCGCTGACATAGACCCCATTGGAACTCTAGCCTTTGTCGACAAGGTGACTTATACACAAGGGTCTTGACCTTGGTGATCTCGCCTGAATGAAGAAATACATCAACTCCACGGAGTGCAGGGTACCATGCACTCTTGTGACTAAAGCTGAACCCCTCTTCTATAGACTGTTTGAATGTAACCCCACTCTCATACAGTGAAACTGCGTTGTTGTACATACTCAAACTCTTGTCAATAGCTCTTGTCACAGATGGAAGCTGCTTTTGAATGTTGGTTAGCTCGTCCATAAAGGCATTTAGATCCAGGTCTTTGATTGCACTCACTACTCCAAACACTCCTCGAGCCACTGCTGATGTACGCCGAAGCATAGCTTGCATTGGTGTCTCATCATTTGGGATATATAGCAAAGCTTGAGAAGCATAGGCTGCATGGTATACCAGGTGAGGATCAGAGCTCTCTTGTAGTTCTTTCAAGTAGGCTGCTAGTGGTTCATGGAGTTGTTCTCGCTTCAGACCCTTGACTTGGTTGTCGACCATGGCATCCAGCACATGTGAGACTGTCACACACAGTTGATAGATGTGACTGCCACACTGTGAATGCGTGCTTTGTAAGCGAGAACTGAGGATATTGAGGATGTTGACCAGATCATCAGAATCGAGGTATCCAGGAGAAGTATGCTGCATCAGCTGAGCCAGTCCTTCGAGCAAATGAGTATCCAGCATGATATTCTGACTGATTCTGTTGATCAAGGCCATGAGCACTGCCCTGTATTGATCATAGTCAAGGACTGGAGCCAGCATCACAACCTCAGCAACAGCAGGCCCATTCTTGACACTCTCCTGGATGAAGATTGCAATGACATCTGAAGCCAGGTTGTAAAGTCGGAGTTGCTCATCTTGATCATTCGATGTGACTAAGAACCACTGTTGCTCCTGGACTGTGAGAGCAGTCAGTGATTGATGTGCAGTATGAAGCAGACTAAGGCAGTAGACGAGTTGATGGGTACCATCCAGATGAGCACCTAGATCAGGCAGACTGTACTTGTGCACCACTGGAGGTATATCATGGTCAAATATGTCTTTTGAGGAAGTTGGAGGATTGTGGGTTGTAGAGGCCTCTGGTGCCTTGATAGTATCGTCCACTCCATTGGTATAGGTGCCGGTATCCTGTTGAGAACTTTTGTTGTCGCTGTTATTGTCCCTGTTGTTACACTGGTTATTATTGCTGTTACTATTGCTGCTGTTGTTGTTGTTGTCACCATATTCATTATTGCTATCACTGTAGCCATCTTTGCTTGTGTTGGTGGCTTGATGAAGTGTGCCTGAACTATCTGAAGTTGGATTGACCTGTCGTACATGACCCCATTCGGCTGCGTACTTGTGGCCTCTTTTCGAATGATCTGGATGACCAAGATTGTCGAATAGCTCACCGATATCATTCAGAGCAGCACTGATTGCCTTACACAATGTTTTATCTGTTGAGGCTGAGAGAAGAGACTTTCGATCAGACCGGTGTATTCGAGAAAGAACACTCTCAGCATCCAAGCAGATCTCTAAAGTGAGTACAGGGTCGTTTGTCTTGTGTGCATGTTCCAAGTAGATGGTAGCAAGGTCCAAGGCTTTTTGAGGCGGGAGTTGTCCTCGTTTGGGCATGCTTTGCATCCATCCCATTTTTCTTTGTTTTTTTCTTTCACAGCCTGTAATTGATAAAGGCAATAGCGGTTCGTTAGATTGGTGATGTTTCATCAGCAAAGCGACCAACAAGTTAATGACGGCGGAGGAAGCCTTACAGTGGAGAACTTGAGAACGTGAATGTGTATAAGATAGTCTATAATACGACAGAGAAGTCGAGCAATATAAAAGGGAGATGGAAGAATGGATGATGTGCTGAAAGAATAGTGGAAGGAAAAGAAAAAAAAATGGGAGTGGTTCGACTCTTCAATGATGGGGAACAAGGCGGCGAAGGCAGTCAAAAAAAAAAAAGATGGGGGCGCAATATTTTCTTTGTGTAAACCATCAAGATTTTTTTTTTTTTTTTTTACTTTGCATATTCCTTTTTTTTTATCTCCCTCCTCCTTGGTGGCCAAAGCAGCTACACTTTTCCAGCTGTCTATTTACATGTGGCAGAGAGAAGGAGAAGAGGGGAACAAAGTCAGCTTTCATCTTGCCATAATTATGACTGACCCGTACTTTCTCAAGGTTCCTGAACCGTGTGCCAACTATTGCTCTGCTGGATGAGAAGGAGAATCAGATGTCAAGACTGGTGCCACAAATCTGAAGGAGCAACAAAAAGTGATTCATTCTCTAATCTCCTTTGATGCCATTGCATTGGCTTTTACTACTTTTATATATATATATACTTTTAATAAAGTGAATGGGTTGTGGTGGACTAATGTTTTCTAATGTCTTTATTTTGCAAAGACATCAGACAGGACAATCACACATTTCCCTTTTGAGGGAAAATGCACTTCAATTTTGGAGGGAAAAAAAGGCTCTTCGGGTATATGTGTGGAGTAAAATTTGTTGGAACTTTCTGTTCAGCTTCATTCGTTCATTCGCTCGTTCATTCATTTAATCCATTCATTTGTATTCATCCAACTTTGCTTTACCTCTCTTTTGTTTCCTTTTTCTCAAACAACACAATACCCTTTATCGATTGTAAAAAAAAGTCTTCACCCAATGGCACACCTTCAACAGCACACAGCAAGACCCCCTACGATACAAGATATCGACCAAAAGTATTCACAACTCCCACCACAATACCGTCAAGCAGTTTTCGAGAAACAGCAACGAGAGTATCAAATGCGGGTGTTGGAGCAACAACAACATCTACCACCGCTACCCCAACCCCAATCACAGCCACGACAACAACTTCAGCAACAACGAAGGGCCAGATATCCCTCGGCCTCTGTAGATTCCTCGCCTACCAATCATCATAACAACAGTCATCATAACTATAGTAATATTAGTAGTAATAATAGCAATACCAGCAGTGCCGGCAGTGGTAACAAAGGAGGAGATGGAGCAAGAGGGTCCAAATTGATGAGTGACATTAGCGGAGTTTGGAGTTCAACACGTCGACGCATAGCCTCTGCGCCGCTGATGTCTTATAACAGCAGCAGTAACAGCAACAGTAGCGGCTATAATCAAAGTCAAAGTCAAAGTCATAGTCATAGCCAGAGCTATATCAGCGGTGATCGGTTTGATCGAGATAATGATTCGTTGAGAAGCAATGCCTCCTTAGGCATAACTGGACCTAGCCGTGCACACTGGAAGGTAAGAAAATAATAGCGTCTCCTCTATTCGAAACTTTTCTTTTTTTATTTTTTTACTCAAAGAGATACGCAGTTTATTTATTTTATTTCTTTTCTTTTTTTCCTCTCTTGTAGCCCGATAGTAGCACGAATGTTTGCACTTGGCCAGGATGCCGAGTTGAATTCGGACTCTTTGACCGACGACACCACTGTAGAAAGTATGGAATTTACTTTTTTTCGATTTTTTTTTTTTTTTTCTTTGTCATACAAATGAACAAATGATGCCAACATGACAAATTAGTCCGTGGGAAAGAAAGACATTTAAATGTTTCTCTTTATTTATTTTTAATTCTTAATTCTTAATTCTTATTTCTTATTTCTAATTTCTAATTTTTATTTTTATTTTTATTTTCTAATTTAATGTAACAGATGTGGAGACATCTTTTGCAGCACACATTGTTCAAAAGAAGTTCCGCTCGATCAAGCATTGGATTTCAACCCGATAGAAGGAAGGAAGAGTCGAGCATGTGTCGGATGTTTTGAACAGTTTGAACGTTGGCAAGGAAAAACCCCGACCAGCAGCAATAGCGACTATATCTTCAATAATAGCTACGGCAATTCCAACAATAACAGCAACAGCAACAACAACAACAGTAGTTCTAGTTACAACAGTGTATACCATAGCGCAAATAGTGGAGGCAATAGTAGTGCCAATTCTACAGATCCCTTTTCTGCGCCAAAGATCTCGTTATCACCCATTATTTCAGCAGCGACTCAAAGGCCGAATATAGGACGTATCCCAGATGGATTCTTGGGTGGACAATCCACACGGGAAGCCATTGGACGAGATGGTAAAAACACATACAATCCATGTTTATATTTTTCATCTTGTATACGCACTTGACTAATATTTAAGCCGTCGCGTCATTTTGAAAGCACAGCACTTTTTTTTTTTTTTTTTTTAACACTTTTTTTGTTTTCCATTCTCCTTTCTTCTTCTTTTTTTTTAAAAAAAAAAATCACTAGATATTGTCAGGAGGAAAAGCCCTTCATCAAGGACAATCCCCATCAAAAGACGACCATCGACAGGTAAACAAAAATGCTCCGGGTGACATATTGTTATTTCTTACTACTATTATTATTCTCATAGCTATTTATAGTCTCCAAAAAGAACAGAAGCCGAGTGTCTAAAAACTTGTTTTTACTTTATGTTAGATCCGACAGTGATGCCAATGCCAAGTGTCCCACACGACTGGTCCTGGAGCACTTTCTAATTGGATCTGCTCATTATAAAATATCCAGATTACAAATAAATTGTTTTCAAGAAATAAAAAGAGTTAAAAAAAACAAAAAACAAAAAAGCATTTGATGAAGGGGGCTGCATGTTGTTTATTTATACATTTGCTGCATGTGCTTGACATGGACATGGTTGAGATGAGGGGTGGATGAAATGACGATTTGTTTGTAAAAAAAAAAAATTTGCTGTACATGTACACGACACACAGCACAACAAAGTCATGCAAAAGACGTCATGTCATCATCACAAGAAGCTTAAAAATATAAAATGGTGTAAATTCCCCACATTCTTAGCTTAGTTTTGACCAATTCTTACTACTTTCTTTCCCAATCCTCTTTCCATTCAGCTATTTCCAACCATTGAAACAACTATAACCATGTGTATGTTCTCATCTGGGCAAGCAAATGAAGGACTTTAGGAAAAACAGGAGGGAATCGAAAACGAAAACTAATTTCTATTTTCTTTTTTCTTTTATTTTATTATTCATTCTTTCCATTCATCATCGACAGCTGAGAATATCGATCCCGCTACTGCACATGCTGAACATGTCAAGGCTGCAGAAGGACTCGACAAGTTCTTGAAAGAACGTCCCGCGCCTGAGGAACTTGTTGAGAGGAACATCCTTAAAGGTGATAATAACAGCATTAGCAATGAAGCTATAATGCATGTGTGCGTGGGAAGAATATAATTGAATAGGATGCGAGGACTGACAAATGCTTTTTTTTTTTTCTTTTCTTTATTTTTCCAAATTAGATCCCAAGGTTGCGCCAGCACTCCAACAACAGGCGGAGGAACTCAAGAAGGCTCAACTTGAGAACACCCTTAACCACAAGTTGGAACACCGTCCTCCAGTCTCAGAGTTGGTGAACCACCATATCCTTCAGGGTGAGTAAAAAAATAATAATAATAAAGAAACCTGATAGAGTGGCCGAGGAAGAAAAAAAAAAGGGAAAGCTTTTCTTTTTTTTTTTTTTTTTTTTTTTTTACATTATCTTAATCGACAAATGACTTTTTTTCTATTTTCCCCTTTTTAATTCTTTCCTTCTTCTTTCCTATTTCCTAATGAATGATTTAGAGTCCGATGCCGTACCCAATGCTCAGCAACAGACAGGAAGTGGCCTCCACGCAACCGTTGACGAGCCTCTCGGTGCTGAGACACGCCTCCAAAAGAATGTCCTCATCTAAAGTAAAGAAGTGATCTTGTATATAACATTCAACTAAGGAGCAATAAACAATAATAATGAGAAAAATATCTGGTTGTCTGTCTGTTTAAATGGATGTCTAACATTATTTGTTTATTAGAGTGATTGATGACTTTTCAGAGTAAGGAAAAGAAAAGAATTGGTTGAATTAGGAATTGGTCTGCAAGAAGATTTTTTTTTTTTTTTTTTTTACTTGGGTGCATCGACCAAGATGGGAGCCTATACAGATTAAAAGCCAGGAAAGAAAGAAAAAGAAAAAAGAGAGAGAGAAAAAGCGTTAACGAGAAAATCATTCCCCTCCTCTCCTCACCCCTTTATTCCGGAAGCGCTTTTTGAAAAAGGAAAAAAAAAAAAAAAAGAAAAAAAAAAAAAGAAAAGAAAACCTACAGGTGGGTTCTGAGCACCATAGATGGACGCGATTTTAGGGATGATTGTGAAATAATGCATCATTTCTCCCCAGGGACAAGCAGTTTTGGGGTCTAGACAAGCACCCCAGAGCTTTGCCTTGTAATGAACGATATCCCACATCAAAGCGACCAAGCAGTCAAACCCTTTGGGATCCTCACGATGGTAGACACCAATGTTCTCATGAACTTTGGCTCCATGGATTAACTTGTCCAGGGTTTGATATTGAGCGGGCGTCAGAGCAGAACAGTTGTCGACAAGAGGGACTGTACGTTTGATACAACTGTGGCAATTCTGGGATTGAGCAGAGACGAAATAGATTGAGGAGGAAGAAGAAAAAGAAGATGATGATAATAGGAGGACCAACCCAGTACTGAGACACGCAAGGAACAGACTCCTTGCAAAGGAAAGAGGATTAAACATGAATGGAAAATAGCGAATAGGGGAGCAGAATGAGAGCAGAATGTAAATTACAAAATGTTTAATTAATGTCTAATGTCTAATGTCTAATGTCAATTGTTCTTGGGAAAGGAATAAAGAGTTCAATTGTACGCCAATAATCTAAAACCCAGTTTAATGTGATGTGACACAAAGAAGCATACCAAAGGAAAGACGTTTCCAATGTGTTCATAGACTAATCAGCGTCTGGTGGCTTGAAGTGTGGCCTTGGAAGCCCTGGTTGTCTTGGTGGTAGTGGATGCTAAAGATATGGTGGTGTAGATAAATGAATGTGCGTGTGTGATGTGTTTCTTTATTTTATATTCCTATGTGAGGATGAGTTTTCTGGCAAGGATGGGTGTATGGAAAAGGAGTGTGATATTTCATAGTTTTTTTTTTTTTTTTTTTTTTTTCACATGGTGTCGGGGCAGGGTGACCGCAAATACTATAGATCTTTCATGCGTCTTGTTTATTCTTTTTCTCCAAAATGCATGAAAACAGACACTTGTATGCAAAAAAAGCCATGGTGTTCGTAAAGATGTCGCTTCAAAGAAATATTATACCATTGTGTATATTTATTTCTTTATTTATTTTAACCGCCTTCGCCACCTTGTTCCCCATCGTTGAGGTGTCGAACTGCTCTCTTTTTTTTTTTTTCTCCTTTCACTGTTCTTTCCCATTCTCCCCTCTCCCTTTTATATTACTCGACTTCTCCGTCGTATTGTAGACTATCTTATACACCATTCATGTTCTCAAGTCCTTCATTGTAAGGCTTCCTTCACTACGATTAACTAGTTGGTTGGTTGCTTTGCTAATGAAACGTCATCAATCTAACAAATCACTATTGCTTTAACCGACTTCTGGCTGGGAAAGAAAAGAAGAAGAAATGAGATGGATGCAAAGCATGCCCAAACGGAGTCAGCTCCTACCTCAAAAAGCCTTAGACCTTGCTACCATCTACTTGGAACATGCACACAAGACAAACGACCCTGTGCTCGCTTTGGAGATCTGTTTGGATGCTGAGAGTGCTCTTTCTCGAATACACCGGTCTGAACGAAAGTCTCTTCTCTCAGCCTCAACAGATAAAACATTGTGTAAAACAATCGGTGCTGCTCTGAATGATATCGGTGAGCTATTCGACAATCTTGGTCATCCAGATCATTCGAAAAGAGGCCACAAGTACGCAGCCGAATGGGGTCATGTACGACAAGCCAATCTAGCTTCAGACAGTTCTCATACGCTTCACCAACCTGCCAACATAAGCAAAGATGATCACGATTGTAACAATAATGAAAGCAGCAACAGCAATGGTACTCAAAGTGACAACAGCGTCAATAGCAACAGTAACAAAAGTGCTCAACAAAGTACCAATGCCCATACCAATGGAGCGGACAATGTTATCAAAGCACCAGAGGCCTCTACAACCCATAAGCCTCCAACTTCCTCAAAAGAAATATTTGACCACGATGTCCCTCCAGTGGTGCACAAGTACAGTCTGCCTGACCTAGGTGCTCATCTGGATAGTACCCATCAGCTTGTCTACTGCCTTAGTCTGCTTCACACCGCACATCGATCACTGACTGCTCTCACAGACCAGGAGCAACAGTGGTTCCTAGCCATATCGAATGATCAAGATGAGCAACTCCGACTTTACAACCTGGCTTCAGATGTCATTGCAATCTTCATCCAGGAGAGTGTCAAGAATGGGCCTGCTGTTGCTGAGGTTGTGATGCTGGCTCCAGTCCTTGACTATGATCAATACAGGGCAGTGCTCATGGCCTTGATCAACAGAATCAGTCAGAATATCATGCTGGATACTCATTTGCTCGAAGGACTGGCTCAGCTGATGCAGCATGCTTCTCCTGGATACCTCGATTCTGATGATCTGGTCAACATCCTCAATATCCTCAGTTCTCGCTTACAAAGCACGCATTCACAGTGTGGCAGTCACATCTATCAACTGTGTGTGACAGTCTCACATGTGCTGGATGCCATGGTCGACAACCAAGTCAAGGGTCTGAAGCGAGAACAACTCCATGAACCACTAGCAGCCTACTTGAAAGAACTACAAGAGAGCTCTGATCCTCACCTGGCATACCATGCAGCCTATGCTTCTCAAGCTTTGCTATATATCCCAAATGATGAGACGCTAATGCAAGCTATGCTTCGGCGTACATCAGCAGTGGCTCGAGGAGTGTTTGGAGTAGTGAGTGCAATCAAAGACCTGGATCTAAATGTCTTTATGGACGAGCTAACCAACATTCAAAAGCAGCTTCCATCTGTGACAAGAGCTATTGACAAGAGTTTGAGTATGTACAACAACGCAGTTTCACTGTATGAGAGTGGGGTTACATTCAAGCAGTGTATGGAAGAAGGACTCAGCTTTAGTCACAAGAGTGCATGGTATCCTGCACTCCGTGGAATTGATGCATTCCTCCAGACAGGCGAGATCGTCAAGTTCAAGGCCCTTGTGTATAAGTCACCTTGTCGACAAAGGCTAGAGTTCCAATGGGGTCTATGTCAGCGCTTAGGACAGCTTGCAGCCAACACAGAGTCGACCCTTGAAATTCGAGAAGATGCAGTCGCTCTCCTTGGAGAGATATACAAGAATGACAATGATTGGGGTCACCATCCTGAGATCAAGTAATGGATTATATTTATCCTCAAGAGGCTGGCCTTGTCGACGAAGGATGGCCTGCAAGGTGAGTAGTCATGCTACCTCAATATTAGGTCGTTGGTTCAGTTGCAAAAAGCAGCGATACTAATAAGCATAGTACACTATGTTCCACATGTATTCCTCTGTAGCTGCAGAGACACTCCTCCATGACCTTGCTGCGGATAGAGATATCAATGAGCCAACAACACAGCATCTTTTCACTGCCACCTTGCCTTCACCTGCATCTCCATCACTGCTCGATCGTGCACAGAATAAGCCTGATGTGGAGAAGAGCATACGTTTACTCAAGCAACAGCGGATGGAGACAAGAGGCGACAGGTTCTTCTACATTGACCAATATGCCAAAGCGAATCCTCAAGCTAGTGATGACGAATCGTTCCTATTGATGGACAAAGTGAACGAGTTCTTGAAGAGCGAGCAGAAAGTGCTGCTCATCCAAGGTGATTCAGGAGCAGGCAAGTCGACATTCAACCGCAATCTAGAGTCCACTCTGTGGGAAGCGTATCAAAAGAACCATGGCCGCATCCCACTGTTCATTAACCTGCCAGCCATCGATGACCCAACAAAAGATATGGTTGCAAAGCAATTGCGGATGTATGACTTCACGAGTGAGCAGATCAAGGAACTGAAGAGGAGTCGGTCATTGATCTTGGTGTGTGATGGATATGATGAGACCATGCAGACCAAGAACCTGTATGTTACCAACAACCTCAACCATGCTGGCGAATGGATGTGTCAGATGGTGATCAGCTGTCGCAGTGAGTATCTTGGAGTAGACTATCGAAGTCGCTTCCAGCCTATGGACCGCAACCACCAAGCAGATGCTGGATTGTTCCAAGAAGCTGTGATTGTACCATTCTCTGGGAGGCAGATCGATGAGTACATCAAACAGTATGTCGCAAGTATAGGCATATTGTGGAGTGTGGAGGACTATCAGTGTGCACTCAAGATGGTCCCTAGTCTACAAGAGCTTGTAAAGAACCCATTCATACTATCGATGGCACTACAAGTGCTGCCACGAATGATAGACCCACATCAAGGCATCTCCACAACACAGGTCAAGCGCATCACACTGTATGATCAGTTCATTGAGTCGTGGATCGAACGAGGCAAGAAGCGACTAAGTGAGATATCGACAACAGATAGCACAGATAGAGAGATGCTCCAGATACTGTGTGAGGAAGGGTTCGCAAAGAATGGGATTAGGTACTTGACAGAACTGGCAGTAGCAATCTACGAGCATCAAGATGGCAACCCAGTGGTGGAGTACCCATGCAAGCGCAAAGAAGCATGGAAGAGAGAGTACTTTAGCCGAGGAAGCAAGAAACACCTCCTTCGAGAAGCATCACCTCTGAGCCGTACAGGCAATCAGTATCGGTTTGTGCATCGGTCTATTCTGGAGTACTGTGTGGTACGAGCGATGTTCGAACCACGGAAAGAGATGAATACGGCTGCAGGTGATACAGTAGCAGCAACAGCACTGAAATGTCGCCGACAGAGTGTCAGCTCTGTATTCAGCTTTGAAGTGGAAGGGATTAAAGCATATGGGGATGAACTTGACTCAACAAAAGCAGATGAGACATCACCTTTGGTGTGGAGAAGCTTTGTGGATGAGCCATCGATCCTTGAGTTCCTGAAAGAGCGTGTTGAGATTGAACCAAAGTTCAAGCAGCAGCTGTATGAGTATGTTGAGCTATCGAAGAGCGACAAGAGATGGCGGATAGCAGCAGCAAATGCAATGACGATACTGGTCCGAGCAAGAGAGTCGTTCAGCGAAGCAGACTTGCGAGGTATCCAGATCCCAGGAGCCGACCTTAGCCATGGTATATTTGATAGTGCTCAACTACAAGGAGCAGACTTGAGAAAAGTCGATCTTCGAGGCTGTTGGCTTCAGAAGGCAGATCTGAGTGGAGCAAAGATGTCAGGTGTACAGTTTGGAGAATGGGCATTCCTGAAAGAAGAGGGGAATGCAGAGAAAGGGTCATACTCGCCTGATGGCAAGACATTAGCTGCAGCTGTGTATAATCGTGACATCGAAAAGAGCCATGTCAGCATATATGATACTCTGACATGGGAGAAGTGTATGACTTTGGGGATCAATAAGTACGAAAGCCGCTCCATCAATTTTACATACTCCCCAGACAGTAGACACATTGCCATATGGTACAGAGGCGACAGTGTGGTTTATGTGTTTGATATAATATCAGGGGTAGAAGTTCATAAGTTAGAAGGCCATGCAGGCACTGTCGAATGTGTAGTATACTCACCTGATGGAAATCATCTCGTCTCAGGAAGCAAGGATGGACCAGTACATCTGTGGGATACCAAGTCAGGCACAATCAAATACACATTAGAGGGCCATACTGGTGCGGTGAAAAGCGTGGTGTATTCGCCAGATGGGAAGCAGATTGCAACTGGAGGCGAAGACAAGATAGTGCGGCTATGGGATGCGGTATCAGGAGAGCTCATTCTGATACTCCAAGATATGGAATCTCAACTCTTGCAAATTGTATATTCACCTAACAGCCAGGAGATCATCACTCGCTATGACGACAGTAGGTCACTAGATGTATGGGATGCTAGGTCTGGTCAGAAGAAGTGGACTTTGTGGCATAAAGGACAATCCGTTAAGGGTATTCAGTATTCACCTGATGGGAAATATGCCACTACGTTTTCCATGGATGCAGCATATCAGTGGAATATGCAAACAAGAGAAGTCATCTATACTTTTAAAGGCCATACCACTTACATCAAATGCTTGAAATATTCACCAAATGGAGAACAGATAGCTATAGCTTATTACCATAGAGTACGCATTTTTGATGCTCGATCAGGACAACTAAACGCACTTTATGCTCACCCTAACATGATATGTGATGTGACATATTCGCCAAACAACCATCAGCTTGCATCATTCAGCGAAGATGGAACGATACGACTGTGGGACACACAATCAGGCCAATCTAGACATGTGTCCTATGGTCATATATCTGATATCGACACACCAAGGCTTTCACCGGATGGGAAGTACATGGCCACATGCAGTTACGATGACGGTACAGTGCGTGTATGGGATAGTCGAACAGGACAATGTGTTCGCGCCTTGAAAAACAAAGCATTTGGCATCAAGTATTCATCTGATGGTCAGCTGCTTGCATTTTATGACTACAGTGATCATCGTGTTCACCTTCTGGATACTGGAACAGGCCAGCCTGCCCTTGTCTTGGAATCACAAGCCAAAAGCGATGAGATCAATGCCTTTGATATTTCACCAGTTGGCCACCAAATTGCAATTGGCTATAAAAGTGGACAAGTAGATGTATGGGACACACAAGCTGAAAAGCTCGTGTGTACTTTGCAGTATGGGGGCGATTTGTGGGATATATTATTCTCACCTTGTGGTCGCCAGATTACTTGTCGCGGTCAAGGTGATATAGTCAAAGTCTGGGTAGCGCATTCAGGGAACTATCTTTATGAGTTTAGGGGCAGTCATTCAATGGTTTACTCGCCTGACAGCCAGAAGATAGCACTGATTCAGAACGACAATATCCTCCAGCTACTGAATGCAGAAACAGGCGAGCTTTGTTCCGAAACGAATTTCGATTGTCAACAACGATTCATTGCATTCTCACCATCCAGCCAGCTGGTGGCTGTTGGGGCTTATAGTGGATCAATTAGCGTGGTGGATACAGAATCAGGGGTGGTGTTACATATACTTGAAGGACATGCCGGACGTATAAGCTTTTCTTATTCTAGCGATGGCCAGTACTTCGCCTCACTTGGTGAATATACAGTTGTACAACTATGGGACGCAAAGTTAGCCCAGTGCTTGGCTGTTCTCCCGAATATATACAAAGGTATTACAAGCCTTGCATGGAATGTTACCGGAGAAGGTCACTTTCTAGTAACAGCATATGAAGGTGGCTCTATCCGGATGTGGCGGATTGTTAAGGATGAGTATGGCCAGTGCCATATCCGACTGAAGTGGAGCACGGAGCAACAGCCTTTTAACGCTCACAAAGTAAACATTCGAGATGTATCTGGGTTGAGTGAAGCTAACAGAAAGCTTTTGGAACAACATGAAGCTGTTGGTGACCCAGTGCAGTGCCCGACTTCTAAAAAAGCAAGCTATGAGACCAATACAGCGACATCTACGCTACCTAGGACCGGAGAAGTGGAAAGCAATGTGTTGGATACGACCTCAAAGAGGGACAGGGTCAGAGCAAGGCCTAAAAGTGGAGAAAGTAAGGGATATTAATTCATTTGTAGCAAATGTAGCGAATGCGACAAGTGTGGAGATGCACATTTCATCCTAAGTGGTTTAAACATCAAATCTGATAGTAACTGATCAGCACCATGAGAGGAGTATACATGTCGGACTAGTAGAGTGAGGTTTCCATGCTTTCACAGTTTTTAGTTATTTAGTTATTTATCTCATTTCTACAATAAGATAGCTATATGGTTTACTTGCCAGGCTGCTATTCCCTCAGTACCAGGCCTTCAATGATACAAACGTTCTGTAAAAAGTTTCTCTGAACTCCAGCATGAACTCTGTAAACAAAAGATATTTAAGGTGAGAAGTAATGATGTTATGCACAAACCTCGACCTTTGCGCCTCTAGAAATATTTTCTACACCATCTAAACAAAGTGCCCCAGACACGAATCCTTTCACGTCATACAGTCTTTCAAGTAGATCGTGTTCCGGGGTAGCTTTCTTTCAAGATCCTGCAGTAAAAGTCGTAAGCGATACTGCTTCATTATCAAAAAAAAGTTTTTTTTAAACTTTACTCACGCCGCTATTTGATTCACCAATTCTCACGTTCTCACAGTCAGCATTGACTAATGTAAATGTAGACACCAATGGTATACGAAAGAATATCTCTTTGTTATATATTTAGTTGAGATGGGTAAGGTAAATATATAATAAATAAAGAAATAAAAATAAAAAGTCTAGTGTTACAAAGATGGGAGACAATTGAAAAGCTGTTTACATGGAGCATACAAAAAAAAAAAAAAAAAAAAAAAAAGGCTACCTATGTACAATACAAAGAATGAGAAAGCAAATATAATGATAAAAAAAAAAATCAGAGCTCCATATCATCGTCATGCTCGGACAGATTACCGAGCATGTTGGCTCCTGCGAGGTGAGAAAACGAAATGCTCAAAGGTCGAGTAACTGTCTGAGCCATTGATAAACATGGCGCCGGGGATGATGACCGCGAGGGCATCGTGGACCGTAAACTTGCTTCTTCTCCCATTGATACATCTTCTTGGTGGCTTTGATGATGATAGCCATAGTATTGATGTTGCTGCTGTTGCTGTTGTCCGTAATGCGTATACATGTTTACTGGACTACTTCGTCCATAATTTCCATTTCTTACCGTCACGCTGTTGCTATAGCTCTCGTGGTATAAGTTCTGTGACCTAGGCAGTTGCTGATTCCATGACGGCGTGCCCGTCTCTTCTGCTCTTACGCCTTGAGAAGATGATGATGGCGAAGGCGATGACAACATCGACATTGACTGAGGACCAGCATGCACTGGCGATAACGATGCCACAGGCGATGCTGATGCTGACCCCGATGCAGATACAGATGCAGAGGCTGATGAATTGGATGTCAGCCTCGAAAAACGATCACTAGGAATGTTCATGGTTCCGTCCATAGATGTCATAGACAGACCCATCAAAGCGTGTTGATGATGAATATTGCTTGATGGCCCAGGCCGCATGCGATCTGTTTGTTGTTGGTGCCCATTCGATGATTGTCCAGAGGCTTGGTCCACTCTTTGATGTATTAGTGATTGATAATATGAGGAAGTTGGCTGTGAATGCTGTGGTAAAATGTACGGATTATGTTGCTCTTGTTGCTGTTGCTGTTGCTGCTCGCCTTGGGTTTGATGCTGCAATTGAGGATACGGATAAATATTGGTCTCGCTGAACGATCTTGCCCTAGCACCAAATGAGCTTCGTGAGTCGGTAGTTTGATCTCCATGGGAATCCGGTTTAGGTTTTTCTTCCGCTCCATGGAATGATCGTTGACGACCAAGACTACCTCCAGATGACGAAAAACAAGGCATCGTTGGTGGACTTTCATACGAGCGTTCCTTGCCAGTCCATTGTTCAGACATACTCTGATCCGTTGTGAGTTTGGTTCGAACGCCTTTAAATAAAAATAAAGACATCCTTCTTCATTAGCCAGTGCATATGCAGTTGTTCATTCCCATATTATTACGACCACTGCTTATGGACTTACCATCAGAGGCCGATGCTTGCAAATGTGCGGTGATAGATGAAGAGTCTGGAGTATGGGTCGCCTGGACTTCGTGCCACTCCTGCCATTCTTTTCTGACACTGTTCCATTTCCTCTGTCTCAAATTTAGGACTTTGACCTCTGATGATGATAATGAAGATGGTGGAGACGGTACACTTACAACCTCTGTCATCGGATCATCGCTACCATTTCTTTGTCTTTGAGATTGCTCCTGACTCGCCATATCAAGCTTACTATCGTCCATCATCATTATCATCATCGTATCAAGTGAGGTCGGAGGTACAGGGATTGATGGAGAATTCGGCGATGACAATGGTGGAGACGGAACACCGGTCGGATTTATGACTGTGGTATCTATATGATGATGTTGATGCTGAGACTGATGCTGATGTTGTTGAGATGGATACGCCGCTGATATTACAGATCCTTGACCTCTTGTTGAGAGGGGTCCAGCTGGACTGCTTTTAGCACGACCACGCTGCTGCTGCTGTTGCTGTTGCTGTTGTTGTTGCTGCTGCTGCTGTTGTTGCTGAAAGAAGTTGACTCTACGATAATCTTCTAACTGCTGTTGCTGTTGCTGTTGCTGTTGCTGCTGCTGTGACTGTAGCGGTTGTATCTGAGGACTTTGTTGTTGAACTGGAGGACATATCTGAAGATATGATCCCGTACCATGAATGTTATTTTGTATTGCCGATCCATCAGGATTGCTTAATGAAAGCGACTGAAAACTAGTAAAAGTGAAAACAATAAAAAAAGATGGATAATATTTTAAAGTGTTAGTGCTTCTTTCCTTCCTTTTTTAATTTTGCAATCGCCATTCATGAATTGATGAGAGAATCTTGGACCAAAGACGAGAATTGGTAATTATAATTCAACTGTGAGGCTCAAGGCAAGACTTGGTTCAGTCTAGTTCAGCCCAGCCCAGACCAGCGCAGTCCAGCGCAGTCCAGCCCAGCTCAGCTCAGTGTTGTTCTGTCATGCTTTGCCTTGTTCTTCCCTTGCCCTGTTCATTCAAGGGCTGGGAAAGAACTCTGCTCCCCTATTATTCTCTATTCTGCGCCCTCCCCCCTATTTCCTCGCCCCTTACATTTACCATTCACCCATTAATGTTTTTTTTTTTTTTTGTAAAAAAAAAAAAAACTTACTCAAAGGTGATGAGTTCCCCTGCGACTTTTTTACGCGCCTGTTGTGCAAACTCTTCCTGAGGCCGTGAACGTTTTTTGACTGTTCCTGTAGCTCTAGTCATTAAAGAGGCTATGGTCGCAGTAGCGGTGGCAGTGGCAGTAGCATTTGTGGTCGTAGAGGCCATGTTCATGTTGGTAGGAGAAGATGGGGGAGAGATTTGGTTGAGGCAACTCAAGGGTCCAGGAGAAGGAGTTGGGGTAGGAGGAGGGCTGAATGTTGAAGTAGAGTTGGTATGAACATGAGGTGACATTTGACTTCTATAGACAAACACAGCACAATGCAACACAGCATACACACACAGGAAGGAAGGAAGAATGGAGGAGAAGAAAAAGGAAAGGAAAAGGGCTCAGAGGGTGCGAGAGAGGGGCTCAGAGAGAAGGAAGGTTGCGCATGTACATGGGACTTTTGGAATACAAAAAAAAAAAAAAAGTGATCGTGAAAAAAGAACAATCAATTGTAGTACGCGTAATTGTTTTTTTTTTAAAAAAAAAAAAAAAAAAAAAAAAAAAATGTGGAAAGGAAAGAAGGAATGGAGAAGAGAATGCTTTGTTGAATGTAAAATGAACAACTCTTTCCCCGCATGAACTTTTTGGTTAATCGGGGCTGAATAAAAAAGAAAAAAGAAAAAAGAAAAAAAAATGGTGGCGAAAAGAAAGAATTGCCGCGTGGCAGGAGATGAGAGCACATTTGATCCTTTTACGCCATAACGGGCTGGAGGATGAGATGAGATGAGCCCCTTCTTTCTCTTACAGAATCCACATGTACCACAGTGGGTAGCCACATTGACATTGGCATTGGCATTGGCATTGGCATTGGTATTGGTATTGGTATTGGCAGCAGGAGGGAGTGCTATCTCTTATCAGTAGATCATCATTGTAAGATCAGCTTTTTAATCCGAATAGGACCCTGGATGATTTACTGACTGCGGCACTCTTCTTGTGTCACATGCTTTGCCAATACCTATTGTAAACTCAATATTGGCAACATTCACGGTTGTTCAATTACATGTTACTTCCCTTTCTTCTTTTTCTTTTCTTAAATGCAAGTTGCAAAATGCCTGCAACATTGTGTTTCCTGAGACTTTATCTCTTTCTGTTTCCATCTGTGAAGACATCATGGTTGTTGTCATGTATGGACTACGATTTATCACCTCTAAAGGCTATATATTTCAATGCCATAGTTATCGACCATTCATTTCAGTGGGCACGTGGATCACTCCTTTTATCCGATTAAAAAAAATAAAATCACTCATTAAAGCAAGCAGCATACGGAAAAATAAGAGTAAAAATAAAACGCATCAATGTACAGCTCTACACATTCCCCCTACACACGTGTTACGAGACAGAAACAAAATGGCTGCTGAACTTGTAAGGAGGACATCCTCAGTAGCATAGAAAAGCTAAAATAAAGAACAAGGGGGGAGAAGTCTGACAACTGAAGATTGGAGGACTTGAGGCTGGAGAGTGAACGCGTTCGTCATTTTGTCTGACCCTGCATTGGATGACAAGAACAAAACGTTGTTCATCGATTTATATTTCTCCACCTCTGCCCCTTTTCCCAATCCCCCTTCATTCTTATCTTTTTGCTCACTTTTCTTTTTCCTTCTAGAGAAGCATAGTAGGCTAGTAGGTTAGCAAGTAATAGGTTACCGTTTTTTTTTTTTTTTTTTTTTTTTTTTTTTTTTAGTTGCATATTGTATATATAAAACAAAAAGAGGGAAAAAAGTGTTGTTTGTTATATAGAAATGATGGATATCAGACTAAAGCAAAAGATAAAGATAGACACTGTACACGAAATAGTTATAATTACACAGACTAGGCTTGGGCATTGACATGGACATGTTTAACGTGCACAAAGACTTCTACAGCTCCTTTGCATGGGGTCACACAAAAAAGAAGCTTGTGCCTGCGACCTCCAAAGTTCCTTTTTTAGTTTGAATCCATCACCCCTTTTTTCGATCAAAATAGTGCCTACTAGTGCCAAAGTACAAATAATCCATCCCAAAAAAAAAAGCCTCTAGGATGGAACATTGATAATTGAACGAAGGCAGTGTCAAGCAGAAAGGAGCCGCTCATTATTTTTCAACAAAAGCATCTTCCATCTCTCGTGGTTAATCATGAAAAAGAAGAAGAAGAATAAAATGACCTTGAGAATGGAGATCTAGAAAAAACAAAGACCAACGAACACCATGCTCTTTTTTTTTTTTTTTTTTTTTTACAGGCTACAATGTCTGTAATGAGCTATTTTTTTTTTTTTTTTTTTTTTTGAAAAAGAGAGCATGAGGTCAAAGATGATGTTAAATGGTCGAATGATGAAGGAATCAATCATCATTTTTTTCATTTTGTAGACAGCTACGGTCATCAGGGGGAATGGAATCATAGCCAACAATCTTTCTGATTCATACATATTGCAATCATCTCTAGCATAGAAGAGAGACAGATAGAGAGAGCAAAATAAAATAAAATAAAAGGGTGGAGTACAACTGGCTTGATGAAGGATGAGATTGAACATGTAGCTGATAATACAGAACCATACCAGATAAGTTATTTACAATGTTGTATATATATATGTATATTTTTGTCTGGACCCTGTCTTTTTCTTTTTTTTTTTTTATTCCACGCCATTGACGCCCGTTCTGACCGTTCACGCCGATTCGTTGTTGGCTTATTTTAATTGTTTAATCGTTTATGGTTCGAGAATTGCTTAATTGTAATGGTAAAAATATCCCATGTTTACATGTTTATATGTTTACATCCATTTAATTTACATCTTTCTTGTGTATGGGACAAGCATCTGGACACTTTGACTTTTGACCTGGACCCCCCACTGTCTCCTTTTTGCTTTTTTCTTTTTCATTCCAATGGTTTTTCTCCGTCTATTCTTGGCCTTAATTTTTTCTTTTGCTCAAATAAAAACATGTTTAATTTGTTTGCATGCATACATGAGGTAAGGTCTCCAGTGTAACCCATCCATCCATCCCCAATAAAATATCTCGCAGATAAAATAAAATAGAATAAACATTTTTAAAAAAACCTTGATGCTATAAAAGAACGTTAGACCGAACAAACATCTCTCTCTCTTTTTTTTTTTTTTTTTTTTTCTTTTCTCTTTTCTTTTCTTCACTCATCTCATCCATCAACCCATTCCTGCCTTCTCGGCGTCTCTTTTTCTTTTTCTTTTCTTTTTTCCCTTGACTTTCTAACGACCACTCACTTTCATACTTTGAATAAGGTCCCATTCACACATCCCTCATCAACATCATCAACATCCGACAACCCGTACCTTTCCCCCTCTACCCATCACCATAGTCAATTCATCATCAATAATACCGCAACAACATAAACAAATGGCGGCATTCGCATCATTCCATACATCTTGGCTCTTGTGCCTAGCCCTTCTGTTGTTGGGGGCCTCCATCCTTCCTGAAAACACTGCAGAGGCCCACATGGCCTTGCTCTATCCTCCTCCCCGTGGTGGATATGGCACCAAGCACTTCAATTGGAGAATTCACGAGTTCATCGGCTCCCGTGGATTCAAGTATCCTTGCGGTGGATACCCAAGGGGCCCTGTTACCCGTAAGGAAACAAACAATTACAAAAATACACAAAAAAAAAAAAAAAAGGCGCATAAACAACTTCTTTTTTGCTGTGCTCTTTGTATCACATTCCATTTACCCAAATGGTTAGCAAATGTCTTACCAAAAACAACACTTTTTTTATTTTTAAACAAAAACAGCTCTTAAGGCTGGTCAACTCGTCCCTGTCCGTTTCTGGACCTCAGCGATCCGTGATGCCAGCCGCTTGCCCAAGAAGTCAATCCCTCAGGCTCGTCATGGTGGTGGCTTGTGCGAGTTCTCTCTCTCGTACAACAACGGCAGAACCTACCATCTCATTGCAACCTACTCCAAGACCTGCCCCGATGCTGTCTATGAATGGCCCGTCAGAATCCCCGATAACGTTCCTTCCTGCAACAAGCCCGGTCAATGCTTGTTCGTCTGGAGCTGGACTGCTGCCTTGATTCCTCAGTTCTACCACAAGTAAGTCTCTCTCCTCCTTTTTCTTTTTCCTTTCTTTTTTGCGTGTGGAGTAATTATTTTGATTCCTATTGGTTCAATGAATTTCTGTTTCTAATTAATTTTATTTTATTTTATTTTATTTTTTTCATCTCAGCTGCGCTGATGTAACCATCCAGGGCGTCAAGAACGGCAAATTGCCCGAGAAGGGCATTCAGCTTTATGACTTCAAGGGCCACAGGATGAATGTTGTCTTCCCTGGTGATCGCAACTCCAAGAGAGCCGGTCCTGGACCATTGAAGAAGGAAGTCGCAGAAGCAAGCCGTAGAAAGCGCGTGTAAAAAAAAAAAAATCTTTTTTTTTTTTTCTCTTTCTCCCTCTCTTTTTTTTTTCTTTAAAAAAGAAAATAAAAAAAAAACCCCCATTACTCGTATATTTATTTAAACCATTGTTTTCTGCTATAGAGAAAGATAAATAAAAGAAAAAAATACCTTCATCTCCATATTCTCTCTCTCCTTGTCATCATAATATGAATGAGACCAGACTTTCTCTCAGCTGCTTCATTGACTAAAACCTTATTAAAGAGATAAAAAAAAAAAAAAATAGTATAGATCTCAATAGTCTGTAATACTGTAGTCGTCTTCTGTAAGGGGTTATCTTCCTCCTCTGCTCACTCATCATAATCCAGAAACAAAAAAAAAATGAAAAATGAAAAAACGCGTCATTTCGCCTTTTTCATCTGTCGCTGAATGAGTAGAATAGGCGTCTTTTTTTAGTTATTTATTTATCGCAAAAGAGTTCATGTACATGTTCATGATTAGTTTGCACTACTTGCCGATCGATTACTTTTTTTTTTTTTTTTTTTTAGTCCCTAGAATAGAGGTGCAAAGGTCCGGGATATTCAATAATGTCAGGGATGAGAAACAGGGAAAGAATCAGATTCAGAACCAAAGTAAAACAAGACAAATCAGGAGGCAGGGTAATTAAACAGTGAAAAGAGCACAGCGCCCTTCAATTAACTGATCGCCATGTAGATATTTGATGCTCTCTTCTCGGTTCTGTAAGACTTGGATACACTGTCCTATCCGACTATCCCATACACGCACTATATTGTCGCTGCTGCATGAGGCTAAAAGTTGTTCTTCCGATAAAAGTCTTACTCGGGTGCCTGAACACATGAATCACAACTAGAATACGATGATCATATGTCCCACAAGCGTATTGTCCCATCCTTGCTGAATGATGCAACTTGACGACTGTTTGGCGAATACGCCACGCCCCATATCATAGAAGAGTGGCCATAGAATGTGTGGACCAGTTGTCCTGATCGAGCATCCCACAGCCCCACTGTATTGTCCCAAGCACAGGTAGCTATCTGTTCCCCTTTTGGTGAATATTTCAAGTCAGCGATGATGCTGAAGGGACTGGAGCCTCTAAGAGCGTAAATGACTTTCCCTGTTTGCATATTCCACTGGAATACTATATTCCTGAAAAAAGAAGCGGCGTATTCCCCATCAGGAGAATACTGAACACCTCTGACACTATCTTCATGCTCCAAGACCCACTTCTTCTGACCAGACCTGACATCCCATACATCTAGTAAAATGCAGTCGAAATAACGAGTGATAATTTCTTGACCGTTAGGCGAATATATGATTTGCATAACTGGGGATTCGCAGCCTTGGAGCATCAGCACCAGCTCCCCTGTTGTGGTATCCCATAGTCGTACCGTCTCGTCTTCACCTCCAGTTGCGATTTGCTTCCCATCAAATGGATATGCTATGCTTGTTACTCCGCCATCGTGACCCTCTAATGTGTATTGGATCATGCCAGATCTGGCATTCCACACATGCACTGATCCATCTCTGTTGCCCGAGGCGAGATAATCACCATTTGGCGAGTATACCGCATGGATAGTAATGTCTGTATGGCTCTCTAGCCTATGAACCACTGTGCCGGATGTGATGTCAACTACAGAAACTGTACTATCGTCATACCATATAGCAATATGTTGATTGTCTGGAGAGAAGATAAAGCTGTCTCCAAAGACATTGACTTCCAAAGTCACACGCTCCTGCCATGTCAATGTATCGTAGATGCTGACATAGTCCTCTTTGGTATCATCATTACGCACAGCTGCAGCAAAGGCCTTGCCATCAGGAGAATATAATCCCCGGTGTATTTGCCCCTCTTTGCAGAGAGCAGTTCGTTCTCCATACTGTACGCCTTCCATCTTTGTCCCACTAAGGTTTGTTTCCTGAGGCCAACAGGAACGAAGGCTGCTATCCTCCGTATCTTCCTCTTGTAGCTGAGCGCAATCAGATACATCGCGACTTAGGTCGGCTTCTGGAGTCTGTCTGCCTCGCAAGCCTACTTCGGCGGACGGCTCTCCTGTCCGGGCAAAGATAGACATTGCGTTCGCCGCTGCTATCGCCCATTTCTTATCGCTCTGCGACAGTTCAACGTATTTATGCAGTTGTTGCTTGAACTTCGATTCGGTTTCGACACGCTCCTTCAGGAACTCAAGGATAGATGGCTCGTTCACAAAGCTTCTCCACACCAAAGGTGAGGCCTTATCTGCCTTGGCCGACTCTGCTTCCTGCTCACCTACTTTGTTATCTTCAGTTCCAAAGGTGGTCACAGAGCTGACACTATGGCAGGGGTAATTCAGTGTCAATGATCCCTCTCTGTCGCTTGCGCTCATACTCTCCGCTTCTTGTGGCTCAAAAATCGCTCGCACAACACAGTATTCCAAAATAGACCGGTGGACAAATCGATACTGATCGCCTGTACGGCGCAGAGGCAATGTTTCTCGTAGAAGGCGCTTCTTGCTCTCTCTGCTAAAGTACTCCTCCTTCCATGTACCCCCGTGCTTGGATGAAGAGTAACTCACCACTGGGTTACCATCTTGGTGCTTGTAGATTGCCACAGCCAGTTCTGTCATATACTTGATCCCATTTTGCGTATACTCCCCCTCACATAATATTTGGAGCATCTTCCTATCTTCAGGCTTCAAAATCGCGCCTAGTCGCTTTTTGCTTCGTTCGAACCATAGCTCAATAAACTGGTCATATAATGTAATGCGTTTGATTGCCATTTTAGAGATACTTTGGCATGAGCCCATTATCCGTGGTAGTACCTCTAGCGACAGTGACAGTAAGAATGGATTCTTCACAAGCTCTAGTAGGTTAGGGATCATTTTGAGTGCGCGCTGATAGTCTTCTACACCCCACTCCGGGCCCACGGTTGCTACTGTTGTGACATACTGCTTGATGTAGTCATCGATCTGATCCTCAGAGAAGGGTACAATCATAGCCTCTTGAAACAATCCAGCAAAGGCTTGGTGGTTGCGGTCCATAGGCTGGAAGTGGTCTCGGTAATCTGCCCCAAGATACTCACTGCGACAGCTGATCACCATCTGGCACTTCCACTCGCCAGGCTGATTGAGCTGGTTGGTGGAGTAGAGATTGTCGGTTTGTGTGATCTCATCGTATCCATCACAGATCAAGATGAATGATCGAGTCCTCTTCAGCTCCTTGATCTGCTCCTCAGTGAAACTATAAATCCGTAGCTGTTTTGCGACCATATCCTTTGTTGGGTCATCGATGGCTGATATATCGATGAACAATGGGATCTGACCGTGGTTCTTTTGGTAGGACTTCCACAGAGTGGACTCTAGATTACGGTTGAATGTCGACTTGCCTGCCCCTGGATCGCCTTGAATAAGTAACACTTTCTGGTCGCTGCCCAGGAATTCCTTCGCCCTGTCCATCAACAAAAACGACTCATCATCGCTCGCATGAGTGCTCGCTTTAGCATATTGCTGAATATAAAAGTGTCTGTCTTCTCTAGTCCCTATCCGCTGTCGCTTGAGTATACGCAAACTGTTCTCGGCATCAGGTTTATTCTGCACACGTTCAAGTAATGATGGAGACCCATGTTGAAATGATGTGGCAATAAAGGGGTATTTCTTGTAGAGCTGTTGCTTGCTGACATCTCTATCTGCGGCAAGGCTCCTCAGGAGTGTCTCTGCAGCTACTAGAAAACACATGTGGAGCGCAGTGCATTACTGGTATTAGTGCCGATGATGGCGAGCTAGCAATGAGATACGATATCAACTCACCCCTTAGGCCATCCTTTGACGACAGAATCAGTTTCTCCAATATGGCGACAATCCATCGTTTGATCTCCACATGATGACCCCAATCCTTATCATTCTTGTACATCTCTCCAAGAAATGCGATCGCATTTTGGCGAGTCTTCATAGCCCATTGTGTATTGGCTGCAATCTGTCCTAACCTCTGACATAGTCCCCATTGGAATGCAGGGTCTCGTCGGCAGGGCACCTCACACACAAGTGCCTTGAACTTGATGACCGCGCCTCGCTGGAGCAACATGTCAGCTCCACGAAGTGCTGGGTACCATGCACACATACGACTAAAGCTGAGCCCTTCTTCCACACATTGCTTGAATGTCTCCCCACCCCTCCACAGCGAAGCAACTCTATTGAAGAAACGGCGGCACATGTTTGAAGCGTTTGTCGCAGGCGGAAGCTCTTTCTGGATATTGATCAGTTCATTCATAAAGGTATTTTGATCAAGTTCTTTTATTGCACTCTGCCCTCCAGGAAACCCTCGAATCACTGCCGGTGTACGCCAAAGCATAGCTTGCATTGGTGTTTCATCATTTGAAATATGCAACAGGGCTTGGTAAGCATATGCTGCATAGTATACTAGATGAGGATCTGAACTGTCTTTCAGTCCCTTTAAGTAGGCTGCTAATGGCTCATGGAGCTGCACTCGCTTCAGGCCCTCGACTTGGCTGTTGACCATAGCATCGAGTACACTTGAGATTGTCATGCATAGCCGATAGATGTGATCGCCGGTTTGTGCATGCATGCTTTGTAAGTGAGAACTGAGAGCATTGAGGATGTTTTCCAGATCATCAGACTCAAGATAGCCAGGAGAAGTATGTTGCATCAGTCGAGCCAATCCTTGCAGCAAATGAGCCTCCAGCATGGCGCTCTCATTGATTCTATTAATCAAAGCCATGAGTGAGCACTTTCCTGTATTGCCTACTGTCGAGAGCTGGAGCTAGCATTACAACCTCAGCAACAGCACTCTCGGTCTTAATATCATCCCGAATAAACGTCGTAACCACGTCTGAAGCTAGGTTGTGAAGTCGATCTAGCTCATCTTGATCATTTAATGTAGCTAAGGACCATTCTTGCTCCTGAACTGTAATTTCATTTTGCGGTTGGTTTGCAGTACGAAGCAGGCAGAGACAGTAGGCAAGGTGGTAGATATCATCCAGAGAGGCATCTGGAAGGGGCAGGCTGTACTTGACTACCCGAGCTTCGTCCTGGCCAAATATGTCTGT